AGGTATTTTAATGCAGAAACACTTGCAAAGAAGGTTTGTCAGATCTGCTGCTGCAGTCAGTCTGTCTCAGAACCTTTTTAGCTAAGGTAGCTGAAGAAAACCCAGCCTTTCTTTGGCTTGTCTACTCTACTTAGGTTCTAAGGCTCTCTCAGATGTCATTTCATACAAGCAATGTCGTTTCATACAAGCAACCTCCTCAAACAATCCCTAACCTGGGTTAGGTGCCTTTTTTATCTGTGCCTCATAACTGTTTGTGGAAATAACTTGAATTCCACTGTTATGAAAACTAATGTAGAGAAGATCACGTTATTTGTTAAATATAATTTCATATTTATAAATCTCCATGTATTGCTGCTATCCTTGCCAATTTTGAAATGTAAAACTAATGTTAATTATTTTCTACAATTTAAGTATATAGCAAATTGAGGCCTAGACATCACCTTTTATTTCTTCTGTAACCCTTGAACACAAATCAACTTAAGTAAAGAGTAATGACAGGCGCATTATACTTTTTTGTTTTCAAAGCATTTCACAAACATCATTTTAAGTGCATTGCCATAATATACTTGCTGACTCAGAAAAGCTGTATTTCAACCTCATTAAACACAAGAGGGAGTCCTGCTGTGGTGCTGTAGGATATGCACTGGACTGCTAACCACAAGGTCAGTGGTGCAATCCCACCAGTTCCTTAGAAACCCTATTCAGGGTCGCTATGAGTCAGAGCTACTTCCTCAGCACTGAGGTAATTTAGCAAACTGCCCAATTGAGAGTAAAAGGCCTTTTGATTCCTAATCCAGTACTCTTTGCAGCAGACCATGTGGTCAACAGGAAACATGTAATGTTTTACTAATGAAACATGCAATCAATGGCCAGTGCAAATGAAAGCATAGTTTTCAATGAAAAACAGCTTTTGGCCCAGCATATGGACGTCCCTCTAATCATACTGCACACCAGAACCCCAAAACATCACACACTTTCCAACCCCTCTAATCCTAAACAGTGCAAAGCATATGTCAGCAGTTATTTTTCTCTTTCCACACTTTGTTTTGCTTTCTCTTCCACTTTTGTGAGTTCCTTTTTTCCTTTCTCCATTCATGTTACTTCCCTTTTAAAAAATTTTCTGCCTCAAGTTTCTTAATTATGTTCCCTTTTTAATTTCTTAAGATCTCACAAGCTCAATGCTGTTGTAACATGAACATCCCAATCGTAGTAGCAAAACTTGAATTTATGTTGCAACCTATTCAGAATTCAATCCCCCGGATTTGTTAGGCTAAGGATGACTGCATAGTGTGCTCCTGTACGGTGATAAAAGTGTCTTCTTACCTGGAGGCCTGTGCTTTAGCTGCTTATATAGATCAATGGCATGCTGTTCCCTACAAAAGAGAAAACATGGGTCCATAAGTGAAGGTAATTTAATGAGTCTACTAATACACAACTTGAAATGAACAATGTTATTTGGGCAGAGCAATGATCCCATTTATAAAGCCAAGTACTTATTGCCAATCATGATTTACCAAATATTTTATGTTATAAGAAACAATTATATAAGATTTTAAAACACAAGATTGAATGAACTTTGTATGTTCTATGATCTCCCATCACATATTCAGCATTCCTGCACCAAAAACACAAGAGGACTTCAAAAGGTTCGAGGAAAATGGAATTGAAAGATAACGGAGTTTTCCACTAATTTTGTAAAGCCCCCTCTAAAATAGGCAAAACCCATGGCCTGTGATTAGAGGGAAAAAATCTGAAGTTAAATTAAGGAGTTGACCTCATTCATGGCATTTAAAATGTAATCCCATGGACCAGAAGTATGATAGGTAGGGAAATAAATTATAACTTAGCACACTTGGAAAACTATTCTTAATACTGCAAGTAAAAAAACAACTTGATTAAAAAGGCAAAGATGTTCAACCCAGAGTATTATTTACTTTGTGAAGAAGTAAAGCTTCCTTTCTCTGCCAAGAAATTTGGAAGACAACTATCTGGCCGACTGATTGGAAGAGATCAATATTTATGCCCATTCCAAAGAGAGGTGAC